TTTAAAATATTTAAGAAAAAATTAAATTTAGAAAAATGTTTATTTTTTTTTTTAAATATAATCAATATGATTTAAAAATCTTTGTGTAGCAATATTTACAAAAATAATTTAACAAACCTAATAAACAGTCTAATATGCTCGCATCTTATATGTTTGCCAATACTTTTGCTCATCGTAAGATTTAGGAGACTTAAGTATTGATAAGGGTCGCCAAACAAGCCTATTAAACTATCAAACGCACCTATCAGCAGACGCGCAGCTGACCTTTAAGTATACATGCAAAAATGTTAATAAGCCAGGAAGTTATCTAGCAAATCCCATCATGGCTTTCAGCCCTTAGCAGCTACCACCACAAATCGCCAAAAAAAAAAAAGTAATGTTAAGGCCTCAAAGGAGCATCATTAACGAATGTACAAAGCTGTTGCTGCTGATGGGGCTGCTGCTGTTGGAGGTAGATCTCATGTAAAATGCATAATGAAAACTTGCGTACTCAAAGCGAGTCGTTGTCAAGTTTGGAAGAATTTTCGTTATGCCCACAAAATGTTGGCAGCGCTGTGGAACATTACAAAGAAATCGGTGGGAAGCCAGCGTTATTGTGTGGCTGGAGAAAGCTCTGACAATGTTTGATATTAAAATGCGTTAACACACTGAAAGGCGCATTCGATGAAATCGCGTTTTACGCGCAAGAGTCGCCGAAGCAAACGCGGAAATCCAATCAGCTCTATTGGCGCAGCCAACAACAACAAGKAGGAGGATCTGTGGGTGTAACGCCCGAAAATTAGGTAAATTACCGCATGTGTCGGTTACCGGTTACGGGCACATACACACATACACAGAGCCACAGTCTGCACCACCAAATTCTCACACTTGCTTTTTTAGTGTGTGTGTGTGTGTAAGTGTGTGCCAAAAACAATGCCGGCTAAACCACGACAGGCCGCAAATTTAGATGGCGCCGACAACCCGACAATGGCAGCAAGCAAGAAGTGAGGAATGAGGAATGGGGGATGCGGAGTGTGGATGCTCCCCGTATAAGGTGGCCCATTTTGGCCCTGTGCAAACAAATATCGCGGGCATTGCATTAAAATTTCGATTATCCCAAGCTAAATGGCAGCACAATTTAATGACTGATTTGTGTATTGTTTGCGCTGCTGTCAGTGCCAAATGGAATGCTTTAAATTTGCTCACATTTCCTGCTCAACAGCAACAGCAACAACCACAAAAAATGTGGGCGTCAAGTTTACTTTTCATTTCGGGTTTGCCTTGTTTATTATATACATACACATATACATATATATATAATATGCCAGCGGCTATAAACTTAATTTGCTGATTACAAAGTAACCTCATCGTCATAATTTATGTACCTAGGTGATAAGGGGCAAATGGGACACAGCTACTTGACCAACTCTTAGCTTTCACGTAATGCTCTACCTGTAAAAAAAATTGAATAGAATTTTGTATATACTACAGAAAATAGGGCTCCCAGCATAAGGCTTGTATCAACATAAATATAATAATGAAAATTAATTATAATAACCAGACTCAAGTTTTATTTTAAAGGTATTTTAGTAATATGTTACGAATTCATGAATTATTTTTAAAAATTACATTCTCACAATATTTGTAGATTTGTAGATAAACAAACTTCTCGAAGCAGTCGAAATAGCCGGTGTGTCTGAGACTAGTGGTAATATAATAAAAATCACAATGTCTAAAGAAAAAGAAAAACTGACTAAGAGATACCCAGGGACTACAAAAACATAATAGAAATATTCTTAAAAATAAGATAAGATAATAAGATAATTAGAAGCAAATTAAAATAGAA